CAGCTGATCAATATCTGAGGGCAGGGCAAGAAGCAATGGATGGAACTAATCAAGGAGTGAAGCAACCTAGAACTAAGGAGAAATTTCCTGACAGTTAGAACAATTAATTAGTGGAACCACTTTCCTCCAGAAGTTGTGAAGTTTTTAAGAAGAGATTGGACAACCATTTGTCTGAAATAGTATAGGGTTTCCTGCTTGAGCAGGAGGTTGGACTAGAAGACCTCCAAGGTCCCTTCCAATTCTGTTATTCTACTTCAATATGTTTGCATTTCTTTAATTATTTGCTGTACATACTTAATATATCTGTGCACTGCTTTCAATGTTAGAACAATTTATGTCTCTGGATGCAAATAGCAGTTTCCCACCTATCCTTTCCTTTTATTTCAGAGATGATAGCAGACCAGTATATCTTAGTTTATAGAGCCCTTACACTGTGCACCTAAACTGTTTCAACTCCTCCCCTTGGGATGGCGCTACAGGGTATTGAATGCCAAAACAACTAGACACAAGGACAGTTTTTTCCCCTACACCATCAATGTGCTGCACACCTTATTCTCACAGTGCCATCTAATGTTTATGTATACTTACCTCTGTAGTATGGCTGTAGTATTATCATTTATCCTCCTTATCTTCTTTACTCCCCTCTCTTATTGGGATGGTGATGATGATGATGATTCTGTAGTTTTGCATGTATATTGAGAGCTACTCCAGCAGAGACAACTTCCTTGTGTGTCTAATCACACTTGGCTAAGTAAAGTATTCTATTCTATTCTATTCTATTCTATTCTATTCTATTCTATTCTATTCTATTCTATTCTATTCCATTCCATTCCATTCCATTCCACTCCACTCCACTCCACTCCACTCTGATCCAGCTTCTCTTAGTATATGGAAATCATTGTTTTCCTGCAATAATGGAACAAAGAGAGAAAGCTACACTGTGGCTGATCTATCAGCCCTTGGGAAGAAAAATACTGAAGATGAGATAAAGTTGAGTGGAGTTTCTTAGTCTTCTTGTGATGTCCAATATAATTGGAAAGCGGGATGCACTACCTGAATAATGATATATGCACTAGTATGTGTGCATCACAATAAAAGAAAAAGCCTAATTTGGAAGACAAGTTTCTTTTTCGGTGCAGAACATTTGTTTTGGTCTTTGTAGCCCCTATTTCTCTAGGGTTCAGAGGACCAAACATTACCAGTCTATTGAAAATGGTTGAATGTATTCTGGCTCTTTATATATAAAGAAAATTGACGAAATAAGCATTCAGGCATTTTCATATAATCAAATATGCATTAAATTGCTTTTTGGATAGAAAAGAACCCAGCTCACATTCTAAAATAAATGAATGATTTGCAGTCCTAGATAGTTACTAGTTATATATTACTATGTACATATAGTAATTACATTGAGAGGAAAAATATTTTTTCATAACAATTAATGTTTGTAAATGTTTATGGAAGTACATAACAAATATAACAAACACATGGACTAATTAAGATGAAAAGGATGACAACCCTTGTGGCTTGTTCTGAAAAATAAAGAACATTACAATGGTAAGACTTAATTATTTCTGTAAACATTTCAAATGACTTTCCATCTAAAAATGGAATTTCTAAACTAGTTTATATCTTCTAAACCTTTTCGACATTTATACATACCATGTCAAGAATAAATTACTCCTTATTTATTTATTTACTTTATTATGGATTTTAATATATTACCATTTATGACTGCATATTTTTGAATTTTTAAAGGCATTTATTATTGAATCATAAATGAAAAGGCTTTTTTCTTGTGGTTTTTATATTCATACATACATTCATGCAGTACAAAAACTCATTGATTGAACATTAATATATAATTACTTTAGTAGTAAGGTGAATTTTCATTTATATGACATACACAAATAATACAGTACTAGCTGTGAGATATATTATGCATATCACACCATATATATGTCAATGTGTATGTGTGAATATGTATGTGTGTGTGTGTTTGTGTATATACTATATACTCAAGCACAAGCATACAAACACAAGTATACACACACACACACATAGCTACATATCTCAACGAGCAAAATATGAAACTTAGGAGCCAATAGTAGTTAGGGCACCAGGCTAGAAATTGGCAGACAGAGAGGTATAAGGGATAAATGCAGCCAAAACCAAGAATAGGTAACTGTAGCAGTAAGCAAGAGTATTTCTCTCCTAATAGCACTGTAACCTTCATAACCACATAAACTATGAACAGCTAATGTCTCCATTAGTAAGGATGATATAGAGCAGGGGTGTCAAACACGCATTGTCACAGTGTTGTCACGTGACGTATCATGATTTTCCCCCTTTGCTAAATCGGGTGTGGGCGTGGCCACCACGTGATGCATCCAGCCTGCAGGCCATGAGGTTGATAACCCCTGGTGTAGAGGGATTTCACAAACATTAAATAGGACCTTGTAGGCCTTGCCAAATTAGGTTTAGTAACACTCAGCTAGGAAAAACTACCCAGTAATAATAATCTTACGTTTGTCTTGAATCTCAGTTTATTGCTATCATTCATTCTGGTAGCCAAAATAAAGGAGGTGATTTTTTAAAGCAAATTCCTTAATGCCAGCAAGCCAAATCATTGTGGGAAATAGGCAACCAAAGTCACTCCACAGAATCGAAGGGAGAGGAGCAGTAATCAAAATACATGTTTAGGTATCTCATCATTCTTTACTGGCCTATTGGCAAAATGGGAAATCAGTTCACATAAATATCCATCTGTTTTAAAGATGACATTTCTGTCCGAACCAAAGACAGATGAATCCGTATATAGGTTATGGGTATCTAATATATTACATATGTGCCTAATGAATATAAAAGTCTGAAGCAGTTCATTCATTTGCATATGAGTTTGGACCACTCTGTTTCAATTACAGACAAATTAGGGTTGCACTGTGTGGCTGACTACGTCATTGTGAAGAAGAGGGCATCATTTTGGCTTTATGATTTGGAACAGATGAACATTTAATAAATGTGTGTGTGTGTGTATGTGTGTGTGTTGCTAATGTCGTAATGGTGTATGGAACTGCACCGCATTATTAATATTTTGCAGCATTGATCAGGTTGGATAAGAATAATGTAAACGGCAGTTTAACTGTGCTCTTATTTTGTAAGATAACATGTTAATGATGTGGCTGTTTTAATTTAACTTTAACAGACAATTTAAATATAGGTTTCCTTTACAGAGACAAAAGTTGCAATTTAAATCTCTTTGGTAGTCTAAAAACAGCTTAATTCTCTAGTAGCATAGTAATAAGTATTAATCCATCTTATGCAGTGATTGCAGTATGTCATGTTTGTGAAAGATTGTCTAACTGGGCTTTTTCTTTTGGCTTTAGGTATATGTCTGTTTCAGTGCATATGTATACACATGTACACAATTATTAAATTTCTTATGCTGAGACAAGCTATTCATTTTAATTGACATTCAAACAACAGCAGAAATTACCATATTTCTAAGGTTTCCTCAACATCACCATGTCTCTTTACCTCCCATGTGGACTGGGTGAGAGGATAAAATTACCTTGCTGTTGTTTTCTTCATTAGTGGAGGGCACTGTGATAAAGGTTCATTTTTAAGAGTCTAAACTCCCTTTACTGATCAAGAAATCATTGTGACCTTTATTTTTCCTAGTGGTTGAAACAGCATCATTAGAATTGGTATGCCCGAATCCATTTCTTATGTTTTGTGAGCAGTGGAATTTTGCATCTGAGTTTTTGATTTCCAGAGGTTGCAGTGTGGTGTAGAGATTTTGCAGAAGCTAATTAAATTTCCCTTTAAAGCTAAAAACAAAACAAAACAAAATTCAAACCCAAAATATTGAGCCCATTCGCTTGGGGTTCAGTCAGCTGCAAAAGAGGAATTATTGGATTGCAGTTTTCCATCCTTGATTTAAGGATTTAAGGATCATTAAGAGATGGAATTTCATTGTTAGATTTCTTCATACAAACCCATCATCCATCTCTCTTCTAAATGAGAAAAACAGATTGGACAAGAAAGTAGGGTATAATTCTTCTTCCATAAACTAAGGTTAATATAATTTTAAGTTTTTGCCTAATCATGGCAAAGGAAAGAAAGCTAGACAGGAAAAGAAACTTTTGGGTTCAAATTTTCATTAGAAAGTGAATTAGATGCTGTGTTTTTAAAGCTTGCCTCTGCTTATGCTCAGGCTCAACTCTGATTCTGTTCAAAAGAAACAAAATTATATTCATTCCTTGAATTTATTGGGAGAGAGTTGCATTAACCAGTATTAGTAAATAACAGGTTATATATCTGAACATATTTCAAACTCTGTTGCAACCAGTCAGTTTAACCTTACTAGTGGTATTTGCCACCCTGAGAATCTCTTAAAAGGTTATGAACTGTCTTTCCCATTATTTATAATCTCATAATAATAGATGGAAGCTGTGCAGGATATTTAATAAAAAACGGGGAAAGGAAATCTGAACACAAAAAAATAAAATAAAAACCAGTTATTGCATAAATCAAAAGGTTTTATGTCATAACAGGAACATGTGCCACGCTTGCTTGTATATTGAATTTTAGTAGTTGGTTGCATAAAAAAGTGAAGTGTAATGAAACTGCAAGCAAAGTATTCCCCAGTCAGCCTTATCTTTGTTCTGTTTGTCCTTCAGACATAGCTTTTCTTGCGTTTTTCAATAAAACCCATCCAGCTCTTTACTTTCATTATTATTTTCTTTTTTCATTTTGCATCTCTCTGTAACCGAGCTGAGAAGACCAATGAGCTTCAGTGCTTTTCTACTCGAATCCTTAGCTGTTTTTTAAAAGATCAAAACCTAGAATGCTGCTACATGGTATTAAGGCTTAGCCACTGATGTGTCCCTATAGAGGTTATGTTTTTCTTGTGGGGAGATGGGTGGGAGGGAAAGGGTGAAGGGTGACACTTTTGAACAGGCTTGTAGACAGTAAACACTGCTTTCCTTGTTTCTTAGGATCCTCTTTGCAAGCTCGGTGCTTAACCTGACTGAACTGGTTGCCCTTCGGCCTGACCTTGGCAAATTGAAAAAGATCCTTTACTTCCATGAGAACCAATTGACATATCCTGTCCAGAAATGTCAGGAAAGAGACTTCCAATATGGATATAACCAGATTCTTTCATGGTAGGTACATCTTGTACCCCCTTGTGGTTAATTATTCTATCTTTTAAGTCACTTTCATTCATTCAACTTTTATAGAATCCTAGTCCTTTTCAAGGGATTACTGAGATAAAGAGGAATGGACCAATGTAGTATGAAAATATCAGGGGAATCTACTTTCTATAATCAGATTGTAGAGAGAGAAGCATATCTAGATTTTATTGTGAGAATCATGTTCTACCTTAACTAATTGCACTAATTTTCAGTATGTACCTTCCCTGTGATACAGACAAGATGTTTTTGCTTTAAAAGTACTTAACAAAGGGGCAGTTAATCAACCCTGTCTTAACAATAGTTTTTATTGCATACAACTAAAATTAAAATAGCAGAGTTCAAGGAAGCAAACAAAAATTATAATACCCTCCAACAGTGATATTTAGGGAGAGAGGGTAGTAAACCTACCAGATAAATCCTTACATTTATTTCATTGTGTATTCACAATTTGTGCAGTGATGCTTAAAAGACTGTAATCCTTTATATTGTTACTTTGAAACAAACATATTTCTTGAATATAAGTTAATGAAATAAAGTAATAACATTTTCACTGGAAAACTTTATAATCAAGTAAAGTTTTGGACACCTAAATTAAAATTGGAAAACCAAATTTGCTTGAATATAAAATCTATCCATTCATTCATTCATTCATTCATTCATTCATTCATATCTTGCTTTTATTATTATGTTCACAAACAACTATACATGGCAGCAAACATATCCAAAACACCTTCCTCCTCCTATTTTTCCCACAGCAACAACCGTCTTGGTCTGTTTCACCTATTTTTATTAAGAGAATTATTGTAAATGTAGATTGAACATTTTAAGGCTAGATAATACTGTATAGCATCTGTATCTTTGCCTTGTAACGCAACTAAAGATAAGCAATGATCCCATATAGTTGATTTTTTTTTGGAGTGTTCATTCTTTTCTTTTCTTTTTTTAATAAAACATTTCAGTTTTGAGATAGATGTATTTGCTTTGCTTAAAAAATGTGTCTTAAAAATAAATAGCAGTTGATGTAAAATCATGCTTAACTTGATTCAGGAAATATAGGTAGTCCTCACTTAAAAATATCAACTGGGACCAGCATCTCCAGTGCAGTTGTCAAGCAAGGCATTAGAAGACCACGACAGACTTACAACATTGTAAGTCTTAAGACTGTGGTTATTGCAGGTTATTAAGCAAGACATCAGGTGACTACAGCTTGCAGTTTTACTGTCAGCTTCTCAATTGTCAGAATCTGTCTGTGAAGCATGCAAATTGTAATTGTATGACTTCAGGTCGTAGGATTGCAGGACTGCGATGGTCATAAATGCCCATGGGATGCAAAGTACCTGAATCTTGATTATGTGTGAGGATCAAAAGTAACTGGTTATAAGTTACTTTTTTCGGCTTTTTGTGCTTATTGTAAACCTAATCAAGGAACTACCAAAAGGAAAACAACATTCCCACCAACACTGATAGGGAAGCCACTGTTACAGACAGAAAGCAATCTCCCCTCCCTTCTATTGCAGATGATGTTACCTAGTTTGTTAATGAAACCTCTGCAACAAAACAACCAAGTTGAGAGTACTCAACTCTCAACTCAGAGAGTACCAAGGACCCCACATGAAACAAACAAAATGCTAAAAAGTTATATTTATGTAGTTACTTACCAAGCACATCTAAATGATATTAAAGTAACCAAAATACCTTTACAATCCCCAAGGCACAATTTTTGAGCACCCTTAATGTTTGGAAATTGAAAGTTGAAATATTTGATATGACCTACCACCCATAGTTCAACCCTGAGCTGTAAATATTTCCTTCCGTTGGCCTTCATAGTTCCCTCATACTTTTCATATATCCGCTCTCATTAGGTCTACTGTTGTACTAGCATTCCATCAACTCTGGGTTCTCTTGTCTTGTCCATGTATAGTTAGTTCTAATAGTCCACTTATTTGTCCTGGTTCCCCAGCATTTGGTCTGGACCCTGTTAATCTGGGCAATGTCCATACCAGTATGACTGTCTTAGTTCACGTCACTCTTGTATTTGAGGTAAACGAGTAAAGCTTTAGGGGGTCATACTTTGCTGTTACACATTAAGTTATCCAGCTGTTCTATTTTTTTTATTTTAAAAGCCAATATATTAAAAGCTGTCAGTGTGGAAGAAATACGTAAATGGAGAAAAGAATGGCTGAAATACAGAACTAGAGGTAGCCATCTCCTCCATCAGTAATTTGTTAGTAATTCATGTCAAGATCCATAGATATTAAAGTAGTAAATATACAATCTGTATATCTGTACAATTTGCATTACAATTTTTTGCAGTACAGTTTGCATGTGAAAACTTCAGATTTATTGGTGCACTTTTTCTGTGTTATATAAATTGTAATCAGTATTCTATATACCAAGGTAGGGCAGAAATACCAGAACAGTTATCTTTTGTCTCTTATAGAAGGCACATTAGTTTTTGTGAGCCATTTTTATGCCACTAAATTGGCATATTTTTCCCTAATTTGAATTACAGGATTACATTCATGTGTGTATAATGTGTGTATTTATAATTCATAAATACAAGGTCAACATTTTGGCCTCCGGAGGCATCTGTGGGTCCTATTTTTGCCCTCCCCGGAATCCAGAAGCACTCTGCAGGACAAGAATGGGCCTATTTTTGGCCTGCAGAGTGCTTCTGGATGCTGGGGAGGGCAAAAATGGGACCTGCAGAGGATTTGGAAGGCCAAAAACAGGCCCGTATTCACTCTATAAGATGCACAGACATTTCCACCCACTTTTCGGGTAGGGGGGAGTGTATCTTATAGTCCAAAAAATACAGTAATCCTTTTTGTTGAGTGTGGAGATATTTATGATTACTATTCTTAAGAAAGTTGAACTTAAGAATCTTTAAATTGCAATCCTGTCCCTCCTTTGAAGCCACGTGTTCATACAGTGAACTTCATATAGACAAGAAATGTATGTGATATTCTGAAGATATTAGCTATGGACTAACCAGAGAATCTTGCACAGAAGGGGAAAAACACATTTGTGTTTTTTTCCTTAATCCTTCCATGCAAGAATTAATGAAAGCTTTCATGGCATAATATTTGCATTTTACCATAAGAAACATGGACAAGATGAAACTGAAATATGAAGCTGTCAGGTGATTAATGTGGGGATCCCATATCACCTGAGTATACAGCAGAATCACTTCCACTTGGAGGAAGGAAAAAAAATCTAATATCTCTGAGCAGTCCTCGTTTCCCAGTCTCACCAGCAGTGGGAAACCAGACTTTGTACTATGACAGTCCGTAGGGAATGGGCTCAAACCTACCTTATTCCTAGTGAAAGAGCAGCTTTACACCAAACCAATTAAGTTCCATGTATTATTAATTGTTGATTATTTTCTCCCTATTTTATTAGCTTGGTTGCTGACATTGTGGCGTTCAACTCTGCCTACAATATGGAGTCGTTTCTAACATCAATTGGGAAATTTATGAAATTGATGCCTGATCACAGGCCTAAACATCTGGAAAAGCTAATCAGGCCAAAATGCCAAGTCCTTTACTTTCCAATAAAGTTCCCAGATGTGAGCAGGTTAGTATCTTTCTACCATCTTCTCTAACTGGGGTCAGGTATTACTGCGCTTCATTTCACCACTATCATAATCATGGTAACCAAAGGAATATATTTCATGCCAAAAAATTTTTTGAGACAGAACTAAGAAACTCTACAGAAAGTATTAAGCCAGGGCAAATTGTAAGCAAGCAATCATAGAGATGGAGGAAAAGGAAATAAATTAGAGCAAAAATAGAAAGACCGCTGAAGAAAAATTACAAGTTCTCTGTGAAAAAAATATATATAAAAGACATGTTTTTATATATTTGTTGATTTAGAGAAAGCATATGGTAAGTGAATAGGCTTAATTTATGGAAAGTTTGTGTGAAGAATGTTGTTTGCTGAATACTGTATGAATGATAAATGGAGAAAGTAAAGCATGCATGGATATAAATGGAATGCTTACTGAATGTTTACATTGATGAGAGACTAAAAGAAGGTTATATAATGACCCTTCATTGTTTAATGTATGTATAGCCAAATGTTTAAGGAAAGCTTATGGTGATATTGAGATATGTTGATTAGACACATGAATGTATATGTATTTTTGAGCACAAATGATGTCATGTTGTTAGCTGGGAATTTGAATATTGGATGTTAAATAGGATCTATATATATAGAGAGAGAGAGGTCTTTGGTTATTCGGGTTTTCTCCTGTGTAAAATTGGAAGTGTCTAGAAGCACGAAGCCGAAAACACCAGCCTGAAGATGACGAATGAGACCGTCGAAACGTCGCCAAGACACTTCCAATTTTACACGGGAGAAAACCCGAATAACCAAAGACCTACATACAAACACCCGCGAAAATGGATGGAGAAATTTTAAACAATCCAAATGCTGGTAGAAAAGTAATGGGTATTAGATGGTCTGTTGTGAGAATGAATACCAAAACAAGCAAAACTGGTTGCTTATAAAAACTGCTTTTGTTCACTTAGTTATATGGACCTGAAAGTGGAATATAAAAGGAGAACTATAAAGGGAACAGAATGGATTTAGAAAGGATTACTTAAGAAATGTGCAGGGAAGGAGGAAATAAGGCCAGGAATAAATGGGTGGCAATGAAAGTTGATCCATTGGTTGACTATAAAAATGTAATGAGGTAGATTGGTCATATACTGTATAGAGAGAATAAATATAGAAGGAATATATGAAAGAAGAATGAATTAAGGAAGAAGAAGGAAATGAACTAGACGATTGAATACAGTTGGTAGGATTCTCAAAAAGAGAGAGGTGAGCAGTTTATGGAAGCAAAGATAGGTTACAGAAATCAAAAAGTATTGAAAGTTACAGTGAATGGTGTCTATGTAAATTAAGTTTGGTCATATTTCTTTCTAATCATTGCATATGTTCATTTTTATTTTTTATTTTTTGCTTATTAATTCTTGAGATCTTTGGGTCCTTTGCATAACATTGATTTCTAGAAGACAGTATTATCATTGGTATGTCTAAATGGATGGATTCCTACTTTGCCAGTGTTGTTTGTGTGTGTGTGTGAGTAAGTGAGAGAAAGAGAGAGAGAGAGGGAGAGGGAGAGGGAAAGGGAGAGAGAGAAAATTAATGAATATGAATAAATGAGTGCTGGCCATAGGACGCATGTCCGAATAGATTTGGTTAGATTGTTGCTTCCTCAGATCTCCAATAGCTAAAGATTGTTCTCTGCTGCCTAATATCCTGTTTTATTAGACTTAGACTTAGAATAACTTTATTGTCACTTTGAATGTACACTAATTGGCATACATTAAAATGAAATTTTGTTGCATACAGCTCTCAAAGGGTCACTACCTCCAATAAACATTACATAAACATGACTACATACATACATACATATATAAGTATGCATATACCCACATATCAGGGGTAGGTTCTAAAATTTTTTACCACCAGTTCTGTGGGTGTGGCTTATTTTGTGGGCCTGGCTTGATGGTCATGTGACAATTATTTAGGATTTAGCAGAGGTACTGGTCTACCAGGCTTTTAACTGCTTGCAGAGCTGTACCGATCTTTTTGCAGGCACTGATCTACCCATTTATTTTTGCAGACACTGATCTACTTATGCATTTTTGCAGGCACTGATCTACTCATGTATTTTTGCAGGTACTCATTTGTTTTCTTTTAACACTGATCAGCTGTAGGGTGGCCCTTTGAAGCCCCGTGGCAAGAGTTTAAACAGTTTTTTTTTTCCCTCTAGCCATCAGCTGGGACTCAGGAGGCAGCAATAGATTGGGGGTGGGGCCAAATAAAAGGTAAGAATAACGCAGGAAGTGGGGGGGCAGGGGGGCAGAACCGGTTCAGTGACGTTATATTGTCACCACTACCGGCTCGGCGGAACCGGGAAGAACCGGGAGGAACCCACCACTGCCACATATATGACACAGAGAAACAATACAGGTAATCCCCACGTTATGAGTGTTCCCTTAGTGAAAGTTCAAAGTTACGCAATAAGCTCCGCTTAGCATTTATGAACAAGTCCCGAAACTATAAATCTTGCAGCACCACAGCAGTTGTTCGCCCTTATGAACAACTGCAGAGGCTCAGCAACATTCGCCCTCCACATTGTTGGCCGAAATGGAGCTTCTGAGGGGCGGACCTGACACTCCGTTCTGGTGTCCAGAGGCCTTGCCTGGCACGTTGCCAGCCGAAATAAAAACAAATCTTGCGAGTTTACCAGACGGATGGCATAGGGAATCAAGATGTTACAGAATCTGGTAGTCTTCTAGAAAATAGTTTTTAAAAGTACCAGTATTCCAGTGAATCTTTTCTGTCTTTGTGTACAATTGGGAGAAGACAAGGTGAGAATTGGAGGCCTACCAGACCGACTTTTCAGACCCAAAGTATAAAAAGGATTGAAAAATCACCTCCAACAGAAGATCAGGAGAAAGACTTTTCCAGAATCAGGAGATACAAGACACAGTCTTAGCAATGTGAAATGATTTAATTAATACATTATCTAGTGACACTGAACAGTTCCTTTGTGGAATGCTAGTGGAAGGGAGAACTGTACGACCCTTAGGATTACTTTACGCCTCCCACACACATCTATCTGTATTTTGAGGTCATATTTTTCCATGCACCCCATCCTGTGAAACAGTAGGGATCCCTGGAGAAGGAAAAACCCATCTTTTATCAATATGCCAACATCTTCCCCTGCCAATTACTTTCATGTCTTCTCTGATACTTGCAGCAATATTTTTTTTTTATTATTATTATTATTATTATTATTATTATTATTATTATTATTATTGGCTTTAAAATATTAATCATTTGCAATATTCTGGATGGTGTATAATTTTCATACTGCTTTTATATATTTGCTGTTTTTAAAACCTTTTTATGTGCTGTTTCTTTTATGTATACTTTCTACTCTTACAGTAAACTGTCCAGACAATTTATTTGAATAATAGGACGTCCATTTTAATGGAAGAATGCATAAACAAATGTTTGGTTTGTTGGTCCAATAATCTGACTTAGTATTAGTTATATTTTAATGTACCAGTTACTAGTTTGGGAATAACTGTGGGAAGTATTGTGAGTTAATTTGCTACATATTCTTATATAATTTTGACGACTATACAAAAAGATATGGGCTTTTAGCAGCTCCACTAGAGAATTGTTGTCATTTATATATGCAGAATATATAAAAAGAAAATACATAGAGATTGGCCTGGTTGAATACATGCCAGCGTGGTATTTTTTTTTTAAAAAAAAGGCATTGTACAATATTCGGAATATTGTGTTTCAAAAAACAAATTCAATTTCTTAAACATATATTTTACACAAGCTTTTATTCATTAAATTTGAAAATTAATTGTGGCATACCTTCTGATTTATATATTGTTAATATAGATATAAAAAAAACACACAAACTATTTGCTGCTTGTAATAAACACTAACAGAGCAATCCATGCATAAAGTTATGCATTTTAGTTTCAGTTTTTAGTTACAGTTGCCCCTATTTATTTTTCTAATAAGATCTTCTGCGAAATAAATGTTGAATGCACCTATGGCAATTGAATGCAGTTTATTAATTTAGTCTGTGTTAGTCTAGCAAAAGCAAGCTGAATGGAAATGGAGAGAAAAAGGTTAAGAAATATCAGGGCCAAACTTAGATTCATAAAGCAAGCTTTTTGCCCAGAGTGTTTTTCAAGTTATTTTCAAATGGTAATTTGCTTTATCCAAACCAAACTCATACAGTGTAAGTAAGTGATTATTTGCATGAGTGACAGTCATTTGAATGCCTGCAGTCTTTTAAAAATGCATAAGTTTGCAGCGATGTCGAGGGCGGGCTGGAGAACAGAATAACCAAGGTGATTTTTTCTCTCTCTCCTTACTTTGACCTCCTTTTTACTCGTTGTTACTTCCTTTAATATGATTTGTATTTCTATATCTAGCAGAGTTATATTGAAAACAACAAGGCATTATTTTTAGGCTTGCAAGTAAGATTTGTAAAAGTAAGCTTAAATTTAAATTAATGTTGTGATTCTGATATAAAATAAAGATATATTAATGCAGGATATTTGACCTAGAACTGGGACATATCACAAGAGCAAGTAGGTAGCAATTTAGGTTAAAAAAAGAAGAAAATGAATTTATTTATAGTGTTTCTTAACCAAAAATAGCAAATGCATCTTACAAGAAAACAATACTAGGTTAATTGTGACAGAGTTAAAGGAGAGATACTCCAATTTCTAGATATAAAGAACAGTATCTTCTTTCAGAGTAAATAGCTGTGTCAAGTAATCTTTGCTTTTTGGTGTGTGTTTGACTGTAAACAACAACTGCACATAATTGTTCCTCAGTTTCCGGTTAATCTTACTTCTCTAATCAACTGATAAAATAAAAATAACTAAAACATTAAAAAGTCCTAATACAAATAATCAGAACAGCAATCATGAAGACGCAAGCACACCCTAAATAGCTATGTTAACATTGCAATATATAACTAAAACAGGAAAAGTCAAAAAAAGAAATAAATAAACTTT